TATCTCCAAGATGTGTTTCTATTCAATTAGAAAACTTTTTCTGTGCCATTCTAGACCCAGGGATTCTTGAGTGCACAGATGAAGAAATGGGCAATATGTAGTTCTGAGATCCAGATGGGCATTGTCTTCTTTCACCTTTTTGAGGGCAGGTCTCTTCACTCAGAGAAGTCAAGGTGCTATGTGAGCCATACAGCTAGAAAAGACACTTAGCTTCCTCCACTTTATTTCCATTCCCACCATTTTCATTGAAACTCTCTTCTCTATTAGAGGACACATTTATTCCATTTCATTTGTTTACATATGTATTTGAAAATTTAAAAAAAAAGGCATCTATGACTGATGTACTGGTTCAAGTGCTCCTCGTAGAGGATAAAGAGGGGCTGGACTGAAAAAAAAAATTATAAAAAGAAAGAAAATAAAAGAAAAAAAAGAAGGGCTGGACTAATGTGCTTTCCTGAAAGCACATCCCTAGACTCTGCACACATCTCATATTGTGAGTCTCCCATCCCTTTCGCTGAGCTTTCACCATGCCCCTTGGGTTCTCTCTGTGACCCTGTGTATCCACCAAAAAGTACTCCGGGTGACCTTTGTAAATCTAAATTAGGTTATATATCACTTCTCTTCAAGTACTTGATGTGTACACTGTATCAATCAGGAAAACATGTCTAAAATCTTTACCTTGTGATTACCGAGGCACATGTCATCAGGTTGTTCACCATTTTTCCAAAAATGCTTCTGCCATTTCCCCCACTCTCCCATCTACTATATTCTTGCATTTTTTTTTAAACCTATTATGCACTGTTCTGCATCAGGGCATTTTCACATGCTGTTCCCTGTGCAAGGACACTTTCTCACAGAGAACCAGATGTCATACCGCTACACTCCACTTTGCTCTGATTTCACCATTTCAGTGAAAACTTTCCTAAATAATCTATAACACACTAGCATTTATCATTTTGTGTCTCAATACCATCCTTTTGTCTTACCTTTTTAAAAAAATTTTTTTGATCTATTTATGTATACAAGAACTGGGGTAGAGGATAGAGTTTTGGGGGGTGAGAGGATGCACCAGACACAGAGTTGGGGAACAGAACAGGCAGATCCACTGAAATACACTGCTGAGGGGAGCAGAGGGTGAGTGAGGAGAGGTCTGCTGCACCATGTGGGTAGTTCCCTCTCTTAGCTCCCTGTTTTTTATCATTCTCATATACATACTATACATCATTGTTGTGAATTTTGGATCTGTATCCACTGAATAAAGGTTGAGCTTTCTGTAGCAAGCACTCTTTAAATATATCACTATTATATCCCACACACCCAGAACAGAACCTGGAATGTACTAAGTGTATAATAATAATTAATCAAATAAAGACTTCAATCCACGAATGTGAGTCTGTTGGACTAATGCAGTTATAATGCTGTTCTTTTGAAAAATCTATGAAATTATTCAACTGACGTCAGAAACCAGGGTCGAAAGATGAAGTGAGCAGGTATTTTAAATGTTCAGAAAAGCACAACCAAATATAATTTCAAGTATGTTCCTGAGAAGGAAACCAATAACATGCTTAAATATGATATAAAGTTATAACAAATGAGTAAAATAATTGTTGATTCTAAACTCCTTGTTTACTTTTTGACCAAGGAAAATTGTTTGTATTAAGATAGAAGCTTGATAGAATTTCTGAGCCGTAAGTGGGGCTTTTAGGGCATAATCCAAGTGTCCCATGAGCTACATGTGAGAACAGTCATAAAACAAGAATCTGTACACACATTACTATACAGGATAAAATTCTTTATACCTGGTGTTGGTAGCTCATTGTCAGTAATGTGATACTTGCATTAAGTGGAACATAGTTCTTCTCTCTTTTATTTTCTTTTTAGTTTTTTTCTTTAATTTTCTTTTTTATTTATATATTTTTACATCATTGTTCATTTTTGAATAATGTTTTCTCTCTCCCAACTGCATGTGTATTCCCCATATAATTTCCTTCGCCAATGCACTCCTGTACCATCACCACATTCCCCTGTGCTCCTCCATCCATCCTATTGATCCCTCTCCCTCTTCCTCCCTTGCAGGATGTCTCTGGTTTATAGTTATCTGTTTTTGTTGTGTTGTGTTTTGTATTGTTATTATTTTTCCCCTGATGTCTTATTTGGTTCTCTTGTATTCCTCCTACAGGTGAAACCATCCAATATTTTTGCTTTTTCCTTCTGACACATTTCACCGAACTTTACTGTGGTTCCTGTGTCTTTTTTTTTTCCTTCAGGTCTGGGTCATTATTTGTTAATCTGGGTGTATGTTGTCTGTAGAGGCAGAGAAAGAATCTAAGTAAGAACCAAAGCGTAAGGAAATTTTTATTTTATAGGCTCAAGAACAAAAGAGGAGAAATTATAACAGACTCAGTAGAAATCAAAATTATAACAGACTCAGGAGAAATTATAACAGACTCAGTAGAAATTATAACAGACTCAATAATCAGAGATAACTATGAGCATTTATATGCAAAAAAGTTCAATAATCTAGAAGATATGGACAAATTCCTAGCAAAATATAATCCTCCAAATCTAGAAAAGAACAGAACAAAATAGAATACCAAAACAGACAAATTATAAGCAGTGAAACTGAAAGAATAATAAAACACCCACCAGAAAAAAATCCAGGACCATACACCTTCACAAATGAATTCTACCAAATGTTCAGAAATGAACTAATGCCTATCCTACACACTCTTTCAAAAAAATTGAGAAAGAAGGAATACCGTCAAAAAAGTTCTATTAAGCCATCATTACTAATACCAAACCCAAAGACAGATAACACACATACACACACAAACTATATGCCAGTCTCCCTAATGAACACTGATGCAAAAATCCTCAATAAAATCCTTGACAACAGAATCCAATAATATATAAAAATAATAATACACATGATCAAGTGGTATTTATTCCAGTGGCACAAGGAAGGTGCAACATCTGAAAATCAATTAATATAATCCAACACATCAACAAAAAGAAAAATAAAAACCATATGATCACATCAATAGATGCTGAGAAAACATTTGACAAAGTTCAACACCCATTTATAATGAAGGCTCTCAATATTCTCAGGATAGAAGGAACATATGTTAACATGATAAAGGCCATATATGACAAACTCACAGCCATTATTATTCTCAGTGGTGAAAAGCTGAAAGTCTTTTCTTTAAGATCAGTAACAAGACAAGGATGTCCTCTTTCACCATGGCTCTTCTAGCCCAAGCAATAAGACAAGAGAAAGACATAGAAGAAATCCAAATAGGGAAAGAAGAAGTAAAACTATCACTATTTCCAGATTATATGAAAATGTGCATAGAGAGCCCTAAACTCTCCACAGAAAAACTAATCAAAATAATCAACCAGTTTAGTAAAGTAGCAGGATAAAATAATCAACATATAAAAATCAGTAGCTTTCCTATATATAAACAATCAATCTGAAGAAGAAGAAATCTAGAAAACCATCCATTTATAATTGAAACAAAAAATGAAATACTTTGGAATAAACCTAACAAAAGGGATAAAGGACCTATAGAAATAAAATCATAAAATATTGTTAAAAAAAATAAAAGACACAAAGAAATGACAAGACATCCTCTGATCATGGATTGGAAGAATTATGTTTATCAAAATGGCTATCCTACCAATAGCAATTTACAGATTCAATGCTATTCCAATAAAAATTTCAGAAACATTAATTCAAAAGGGCACCTTCACCCCTATGTTTATAGCAGCACTAAGCACTATTTACAATAGCTAAGCTATGGAAACAACCCAAATCCCCAAAAATAGATGACTGGATCAAGAATGTGGTATATATACATAATGGAATACTACTCAGCAATCAAGAACGATAAACTCATGCAATTTGCAGCAACATTGATGGAGTTGGAAGGGATCATGCTGAGAAAAATAAGCCAGAAGGAAAAAGAAAAATACCGGATGGTCTTACTCATAGCAGGAATTTAGAAAACCTAAATAAGGGACCAGATAAAAGACTAATTATAATAAAGAAAAAATCAAAATCAACAAGCAACTATAAACCAGAGACACACCATAGGGGGTGGGAGGGTAAGAGAGGAGGGATTAGGATCAAAATAAGGAGGGTGGGAATATAACCAAAATGAAAATGCATACATTGTGCAAAAATGGAAAATGGTGTAAAAAATACATAAAATTAAAAATAAAATTAAAATTAAAAAAATATTTCAGTGACATTCATTAAAGAAATAGGACAAACATTGGGTCCCCCTGGTGGTCTTGGGGTTAAATCTCAGCACTGTCACCACTATGGCCTGAGTTTAATCCCCAGCCAGGGAACTAACACACATATGGCACAGGAGATCTCTGCTGTCTTGCCCACTGCTCCCCTCACGATTGTATTTCAGTAGATTCACCTATTCTGTTCCCCATTCTGTCTCTGTGAATCCTCTCACCCCCCCACACCTCTGGCCTGTACCCCAGTTTTTGTATGCATAAATAAATAAAAATAAACCACTAACCACCAAACTTTATGAACAGAGAATATAGCTTGACAACCCTAGCAATCAGCAATCATTGCTTATTGGCCTTCACCACTAGTATCACTTTCCCAGTCATTTGGTACTTATACTCACTATTTTCTTTTTTTTTAATTTTTTTTAAGATTTATTTATTTATACAAGAACTGGGGTACAGGCCAGATGCGAGGGAGGGTGAGAGACAAAGCGGGGAACAAAACAGGCAGACTGACGTTATACACTGCTGAGGGGGTCAGCGGGTGCTATAGGCGAGGTCTGCCGTGCCGTGTGGGACCCTTGCCAGCTGGCCGCACTGCAGAGGCTGTGGACAGCTTCACAGCACCGCGCTCAACCACCTGTGCTGCCAGGGGAGGCCCCCAATACTTTCTATTTTCAAATGCCAGGAAAGAGGTAGAAACATTTTGGCATATTTAGTCTTTCGATGGTGGGCATCTGGAATTGATCACATCATTTTTCAAATGATTTTTGTACCTAAGAACATGAAAGTACTTTAAATGAGACCTACTTCTTATGCATTATCAGAAAACATTTTGTACCATGACCCTGATATTTTTGAAAATGAAGGGTGCTTCTAGAGTGATGGGATCAAGCGATTGGATGTTCTAAATCCCTGCCACTCTTACCTCATTAGGGAATATGGCTCATATCTCAAAATATATAACACATGCCTAATCCATGACATTTCTTTTTTTAATTTATTCATTTGTCTATGTTATACATCATTGTTCATTTTCAAACAATGTTTACTTTTTATTTCCTCCAGATGTAGGCCTCATAGAATTTTCTCCACCAATTCACCAGTGCACCATCACCACTATCCCCTTCCACTCCCTCTCTCTCCCCATCCACTCCAGGATGTCTCCGCTTTGTTATTGTCTGTTTGTTTTTGTTTTGTTTTGTATTAGTATTATTTTTTCCTCTGATGTCTTATTTGGTTCCTCTATATTCCTCCTACAAGTGAAACCATCCAGTGTTTTTCTTTTTCCTTCTGACTTATTCCACTGAGCATAATCCCTTTTAGCTTTATCCCTGTACCTGCAAATGGCATTAGTTTATATTTTCGATTGCTGAATAGTATTCCATTATGTATATATACCATATCTTCTTGATCCAGGCATCTATTTTTGGGCATTTGGGTTGTTACCAGGTTTTAACTATTATAAATAGTGCTGCAATAAATATAGGGGTACAGGTATTCTTTTGAATCATTATTTTTGTGTCCTTTGGTTGGATCTCTAGGAATGGAATTGCTGGGTCATTTGTTAGCTCCATTTTTAGTAGACTGAGGAACCTTCATACAGCTTTCCATCGTGATTGGACCAGATTGCACTCTTACCAGAAATGTAGGAGAGTTCCTTTTCCACCAAATCCTCACCAACATTTGTTGTTGCTAGTTTTTTTTTTGATACGGGCCATTCTTACTAGTGTAAGGTGGTATCTCATTGTGATTTTGATTTTAATTTCCCTGATTATAAGGGATGTTGAACATTTTTTCATATGCCTGTTGACCATTTGCATCTGCTCTTCAGAGAAGTGTCTTTAAAGTTTTCTGCCCATGTCTTGACTGGATTGTTTACTTTCTTTTTGTTGAGTCCTATGAGCTCTTTGTATATCTTTGTGATCAGTCCCTTATAGATTATTTTCCCAATCAGTAGGGTGTCTCTTTGTTTTGGTTAATGTCTCTTTGGTCTTACAGAAACTTTTCAGTTTGATGTAACCCAGGTGTTTATCTTTTTCTTCACTTTCTTTGCTTTGGGTGATGAGTCTTTAAAGGTGTTACTGAGATATATGTCTTGTAGTGCTTTACCTATATTTTCTTCTACATATTTTATGTTTTAAAGTCTATGTCCAGATCTTTTATACATTTCAAGTTGATTTTTGTGCATGGTGTGAGGTAGTAGAATGACCTTTCAATCTATATTTCCTCTACAAGACCAATTCATTTCTCCTTTAAAAAAAATGCTTGTATTTATTCATGCATCCATTTATTCATTCTATCATTGAATATTAAATCCATGTGCTTCTATTTCCTTTTCTTTTTTTCTTTTAAAGATTTATTTATTTATTTGTCTGTTTGTTTATTTATTTATTTGTTTATTTTCACAAGCACTGGGTACAGTCAGAAGCGTGGGAGGGTGAGAGAATTCACCAGAGCCAGAGCGGGGAACAGAACAGGCAGACTGATGAAATACACTGCTGAGGGGAGCAGCGGGCATGGCAGGAGAGGTCTGTTGCACCACGTGGGACCCTTGCTGGTGGCTGGGGATGGAAATGGCACTGCAGAGGCTGCGGGCAGCTTCACAGCCTAGCGCTCAACCACTGCGTTACCAGGGGAGGCCCTTCTATTTCCTTTTCAATAGTGTCTGTAAGTCGGCCTTCCTGGCAGTGCAGGGGTTATAGACACAGTGATGTCAAGCTCCATGCAGGTTTTGTGGACTCCACATCTACTTCAGACCAAAACCATCAAGACACTGGGAATGACAAATCCCATCATCACCAAAGGGAGAGTTGCTGGGAACTGAGGGTGGAGTTAACCAGCCAGGTTTGGTATAAAACCAAACATGTGGGCCTTAGGGGTCTCTCTCTTGGCCTCACGGCTACAGCTATTCACTCTTTGCCAGCTCTCAGTGTGCCATTGGGATTCCAGGTCTGTGGAACTGGTAGGATACATTCACAAATTTATCTCCCTCTTTTACTCCCTGAGATATTCATTTCCCCTTCTTTTGTAAATAAACCCTTTATTAACCTCTGTGTGTGCCCACAGTTGAGTATGAATAAGTCCCTTTTAAGCCTGCGGGTGAGGACCCACAGTCAGGCAAATCATTTCATATCAGGGTTGCCTGTCACACTATCACTAGCAACAGAAGCACTAATTCTCTCTTTAGCCCGGAAGTTAACCCACATGGCACAATAGGCCTTCTGTCTCACTTATTGCTCCACTCAGCAGTGTATTTCAGTAGATCTGCCTGTTCTGTTCCCCACTCTGTTTCTGGTGAATCCTCTCATCCCTCGCACCTCTGGACTGTACCCCAGCTCTTGTATGCATAAATAAATAAATCTTTAAAAAAATGGTGTCTGAGGGATTGAGCAAATCTCTGCCTTCATGAACTTTGCATTTGAGTGAGTGGAAAACAAGCAAAGCAACTATAATACTGAGTGGATGGTGAAGAAAAATAGAAAAAAGTAGGAAATAGAGAATGTCCTTCATTGGAAAAGGAGTGTCAAGTCGGACCTCCCTGGTGGCCTAGGGCTTAAGTCTCAGCACTATCACTCCTATGGCCTGAGTTCAATCTTCGGGCCTATACCCCAGTACTTCTATGCAAAAATAAAAAGAAAAAAAAATCTTTAAAAAATATAAAAAACTGGGCCTCCCTGGTGGCATAGAGGTTGAGCGCTGGGTTGCGAAGTTGCCCGCAGCCTCTGCAGTACTGGTTCGCTCCCCGGCCGCCTGGTGAGGGTCCCACATGGTGTGCAGACCTCTCCTGCCGCCCGCTGCTCCCCTCAGCAGTGTACTTCGTCACTCTGCTTGTTCTACTCTCCGCTCTGGCTCTGGTGAATTTTCACACTCCATGTCTCTGACTGTACCCAGTGCTTGTATAAATAAATAAATAAATCTTAAAATATATATATATATAAAACAAGGAGTATCAAGTGTTCCATCTGGGTCAATCCATTCAAAGAATGTCTTTGCTTGCATTCTCTGTCATGTGCTCTAGGTCTCATCTCATTCTTATGGATTCTGTCACAACTGTAATCACTCATCATGTGTTTAGTAGCCACTTCTGTCACAAGCATGCAAGTTCTAAGTGACCTCTGTCACAAATGCTTCATTTGCCCATATCACACCAGTTAATCTAATGTTACTAAATAGACCACTTACTGCATATTTATTGTACAAATTAAGCCTTAAAATTTAATTCAAAATTCCTTTCATGGGCCTCCCCGGTGGCGCAGCGGTTGAACGTTGGGTTGCGAAGCTGCCCGTGGGCTCTGTGGCGCCGGTTCAATCCCCGGCTGCTCCCCGGCCACCGGAGGAGGATCCCACATGGTGCGCAGACCTCTCCTGCCGCCCGCTGCTCCCCTCAGCAGTGTACTTTGGTCCTTCTGCCTGTTCTGCATCCTGCTCTGACTCTGGTGAATTCTCTCACCCTCCCACGCTTCTGACTGTACCCAGTGCATGTATAAACAAAACAAACAAACAAACAAACAAATAAATAAAAACATGCCTCTATAAAAAATTAAAAAAAAAAAATTCCTTTCATTATTCAAATTCTAAGAGTGTATAACCCATGCCATACAAGCTTATATTTTATATTGTTTTGTTCCATTTGAGCTCCCTCCATGGTACATTGACATCTTTCTTTTCTAATCTAATTGTAAACAATTTGATGACTTAAAACAGTTACCACTACTGTACATTTGTATGCCTGACAAGTTCTGTCATTATCACTTGAAAGGCAAGTGATAGTAAAAATCCTGAACACAAAACGAATGAAAAAAGAAAGTGGAGTTCACCTTCTGAAATATTTCCAGTAGATGATAGCGGCAAGCATAATTTTGGAAGCATGTGATGAGTTCTGTGATGAATAAAGAAATTTTCCTGGGGTCTCTCCAGGATACAGTATCTATGAAGACAGAGAAAAATAGGCCAGGTGACTTGATTTTGTTTCATGAGTGTGTGTATGTATCCCTATCTATCTATCTATCTATCTCTCTATCTATCTCTCTATCTATCTACCCATGTACTGATTGATCGATCTTGTATCTTGACATGTTTTCGGGGAAGTACTTATAAACCTGCATTAACTCATTTTGCACTAAGGAAACAAAGAATCTGACAAAGGGTGAACTAATGGGACAGCTTATCAGAACTGCCAGAGATGGCACAAGGGTCACATTATAGAAATGTCTTTCTCCTGCTCAAGAGAGCATCATCGAGAAAAAGGACTTAGAGTTGATTGGTTGAGAAACTGATAACAATACTCAAAATGTCAAATGAATTTAATAGAAAACTGAATCAATCATTTGTCTTTAAATGTTGTATGATAAGGTGGTTCCCTGTATTAGGTTGTTTTAAGGTTTGGCATACTTTTAACCGTAAAGTGCAATACTTATCCTGAAAATATATTTTTTTTAAATTGGAAAGAAATATGTGTTTCTATAGAACAGATAAAATTAAATGTAAAATACATTGCTAGCACCAAAATCTCTCACAAATTATTCTTTCATTGAGCTTATCCAGAGTTATTCAGTGGTGGCTTCACAAATCCCTGTGTGAGACTAAAAGACACCAACATGGAGTCGATGAGTAAAAAGAGATGAAGTCCTTCTCCACATGGGTTCTGTGAACAGCATCATACTTCAGGTTTGCAGGTGAATAGCTGTCTACAGAGGCTCCTGAAGAATCACTGACCAACACTGACCCTGGCTTTTCTGGAGAGAGATCAAGAGACCTAGATCCTCACTCTATGTGTCTCCTTCAGTATCCACCTCATTCTTTTAAATGTTCATTCTAGCCAATCTCTCTCTCTATCTCTCTCTCTCTCTCTCTTTCTCTCTCTCCCCACCCCCACTCCCACCTCTTATTCTCTCTCTCTCACACACACATATCACCTTTTTCTATTTTCATTATGCCAGTTAATTGTTATGTTAAATAGTGACAGTGTCATGTCAGTAAATAGTGATATCATAAAATATAAGATATAATTTGCTAAGAAGAGCCAAGGAGTTAATGCCAGTGAAGAAAGTACCTTATTAAATAAGTAGCATGTTTCTGCCACAAAATTTTAAACATAAAAATTTTCAACTCACACCATATTGGAGGTGGCACAGGAAAAGCCTAAGTCACAAGTGACAAGGGAGATCTTTAAACTGTTTCAGAGAATTTTCTGGACATTGTGGTCTCAGTTTTATTGAATCTAAACAAGAGCAACATCCTCTAGGTACAACATGGATACATAGATACCAGTTTTTAGCTAAAGTATTTCTGCTTTTTTCAACACTCATAGATTTTCAGAGCTAAGAGACAACCGGAAGTTACAGGGAAAATTGTTATTTTTGTTTAACTTTGCTTTAGTGATGCTGGCAATCTCCTTTACCACCTACCATGAATTAAATTGTCAGCTGACAAGACAAATTCTCATGCTACTAGCCCCTCAATGTTTCCTGAAAATTCCATTTACTTTTTTTTTCCCCTGGATGGGATCTGAGGTTGTTTCTCTTCCATACAAAACATATCTCGCAGTCCTCTACAAACCCTTCCATGGCCTTTGAATTTCCGACTCACTCACCACCTCTGCAGGTCTGGATGATGATGACCTTGGGTTTATCCTTCAGAAGAGAACAGTTGCGGATGTTGAATATCTGGAAGATGGTGTCGTAAGGTAGCATGTCCGGGTTTTCCTCACCATGCTTGGTCCCACAGATTCCTTCCAGGGAACCATGAGACATGAATACCAAGAACGTGAACACCAAGAGCACCAACAACGTGCCCGCCCTGGTGCTCAGGGTGGCCGGCGAACTCCTGCAGCACATCCTCCATAGCCTGGCACACTCCCGAGTCTTACTGACTAGAACCAGCTTTCAATTTAAACTGTCCTGCTATTTATCAGGCTTGGTCTCATTCCATCTCTAGTGTCCCGGCTGAGGTGCTCCACACTGTGCTGCTCAGTGGTGAGAGTGGATTTCTTGTGCTTTATATCATGAACCGGAGTTTCAACTTCCCACCTGCTGGCATTATGCAAACTGTACTCTTGATCTTGCATTTGCCTATTGGCAAGTAGTATTTTCCCTTTCAATTTTCCTCATTTCTCCAATTATTAAATGAGACCCTTAAGTCCTAAATGGAGCATCCCCCCTCCCTTCTAAAGTCCTCCCCGCCATGTTTAGAATAAAATCAACTTCTGCTGCCTCCTCTCTCTCTCCTCACACTGGGCTTCTGTGCTAGTTTAAGATGCATTTGAGATTTGTCACTGGAGTTGCCCCTGCTTGGGATGCCCTCTCTGCACATCTTTCCAGAACAGCCTTGTTGCTGACTCATGTATCAGCACCTGTCTGATCTCTGCAAACAGGCTCATATTGGCCGTCCCCATCAAATGTTATCACTTCCCTCTCACAAGTTTGCTCTATGTGTTTTTATTCTTTTCACTTTTACAGAAACACAGAGATACACATGTCTGAAATTGTGTGTTTTGCTTATTTTGATTGCCTTCTCTCAAGTAAACCAAGATCAATGGGAGTTAGGAAATTTCTGTCTCATTGATGGACCAGGAATACACCACAGAAAAAGCAGGATCTGGCTAAACATTCATTACCTTTGAATTTTCTGAGAAGTGTTGAGGCTAAATCCTACTCATCTCACTTTGCAACTAAGATTTATGCAGGTACATATGCCTATCCTTTTTTGTCCTTTATGGAGTTAAGGAAGTTGGAAGTCCAAAAGTGACATAGATTCACCCTCTGTATATGTCCATTTTATAAACACGGCCTGGCCTGAGACTGTTTCAGTTCTTACCAATGGTATGAAGCTACCTTGTGGCAGGAGGATGTGCTGAATATGCACTTGTGAGGTGGGGAATCACCTTGGCTGTGAGGTGCCCTTTCACTTTCACTGTGTAGTCAAGGCTCTCAAGCAGCCCCCACATCCCTTTAATGTGCTCTGCCCCATCCCTTTGAACAAGCTGGTCAAACTCTGTATCACATATGATGAGAGCCAGACGTGAGCGGCCCATTTTCTCCTTTATTGGGTAGATTTGCAGAATGGGTAGTTATAGACCGAAGTTACTTCATCTTTGTGAAACCCTCCTACACCAATTAGTGTTGCTCTGTCAAGGGTTCATGGAGCTGCCCTCTCCCGTATCCAGTAGCATAAAGTCTACCTTCTCTCCCTCTTTATAATGGATTGAGTAGACATAGGAAAATTGTGCGTGGAAAGTGAATTTTTGGGAGCCCAGGCTAAGACCTAGTACATATCTGGATGGTTTACTTAACCATCCGATTTAGAAAATGTTAGAAAAATATCTACCTTCCTTTTTTCCTCTCTCCACCTATTCAAATATTTCTTAGCATTCTAGATGCAGACCAAATTTTATAAAAAAGAAGAAGAAAGAAAGAAAAACAGGAACATTTGCCACTGGCACCAGCTAAAGTCAAAGACACTTTCCCTGGTACTGTTTTAAACCTATCGACATATGAGGTTTATAGACAGTAAGTATATTTGTATTTTATTTTTAAAAAAAATTTAAAAGACTTATTTATTTATTTATTTTTTAATTTAATTATACAAGCACTGGGTACAGTCAGAAGCATGGGAGGGTGAGCGAATTCACCAGAGCCAGAGGGGAGAGCAGAGCAGGCAGACTGACAACGTACACTGCTGAGGGGAGCAGCAGGCAGCAGGAGAGGTCTGCGCACCATGTGGGACCCTCACCCGATGGCCGGGGATGGAACTGGCGCTGCAGAGGCTGTGGGCAGCTTCACAACCCAGCGCTCCACTGCTGCGCCACTGGGGAGGCCCTATTTTTTTTTTTTTTAAAAGATTTATTTTATTTATTCAAGAGCTGAAAGATAGGCAAGATGCGTGTGAGGATGAGAAGATTCACCAGAGACAGAACGAGGAACAGACCAGGTAGACTGAAGAAATACACTGCTGAGGGGAGCAGCAGGCAAGACTGGAGAATTCTGCCGCTCCTTGTGGGTTGCTCCAAGGCTGGTGGGGATCGAACAGGCACCGCAGAGGCTACGGACAGGGTCACAGTGCTGTGCTCAACCACCTGCGCCACCAGGGAGGCCCCGACAGTAATTTTTTTTTTTTTAAATACCCTGTGTGCCTAGGCTTTTCCACTAGAATGTAAGTAGTTGCTATTCAGCCATGTTGTCTTATAGTAATATTTTGAGTCCATCCTACAGTTAAAAAGATCATAAATCCTTAAAAATATGAGAACAAATAAATGCACAAAGTCAGATATTTGGAATAGAAAAGAGAATGAAATCTGTGTGAAGTCTCATGATTCCTCCTTGCTTAAAGCATCTCTGAAACAGACCACCCCTCATCCACCACCAGTTATTCCTTCTCTATCAATGTGTTATTAGTGAAAACAATTGTTTTTCTTTCTCTACTTCATGACAGAACACGTTACCTCTCCTGCCCTTTTCTCACTCATTCTTAGGAATTCCCTATGAGGACAAAGCTTCATGGCTTCTGTAGATTTCACTGATTCAGGTGAAATGGCCATGAGCTCTGGAGAAACTGCAGGATACATACATAATAAAAATGACCACAGCAGCTTCTCTGATTATTAACCCAATGAGCAGATAAGAATATTAACAGAAAGGGAAATTCTGGAAAGAACATTTCTTAACATGTAGGGCTGTAGTTGCAGCTGATTTATAGTACAAGAAGAAATGTACCATGATTAGGAAAGCAGGGAGAAGTGTCTATAGAGAAAGCAGAAATAGCCCCCAAAAGAAAAATGTAATATCACCAAATTGCAATCATAGATTCTGATATTTCTAAGGACAAAAACTTTGATGATACGGGGTTTAATATAAACTTGTCATAGTAGAAAGTTTTTTTTTTTTTTTAAAGATTTATTTATTTATTTATTTATACATACATGCATGCATACATACAAGCACTGGGTACAGTCAGAAGCGCGGGAGGGTAAGAGAATTCACCAGAGCCAGAGCAGGGAGCAGAGCAGGCAGAAGGACTGAAGTACACTGCTGAGGGGAGCAGCGGGCGGCAGGAGAGGTCTGCACACCATGTGGGACCCTCCTCTGGTGGCCGGGGAGCAGCCGGGGATCGAACTGGCGCTGCAGAATCTGTGGGCAGCTTCGCAACACAGCGCTCAACCGCTGCACCACCTGGGAGGCCTCATAGCAGAAAGTTTTATTTTTCCAGTAATTTTACGCTAGAATACTCACTCACCCATATGGACTGGCTGTTGTCTCTGAGCAAAAGTATACTGAAAAAATAATTGTCATTAGAAATATAATTGAGCCATATTTTAAACTCTATTATTTTTGAAAGTCTTATTCATTTATACATACAAGCACTGGGGTACAGGACAGAAGTGCGGGGTGTAAGGGTGAGAGGATTCAACAGAGACAGAGCGGGGAACAGAATAGTCAGACTGACGAAATACACTGCTGAGGGGAGGCGCAGGTGAGACAGGAGAGGTCTGCTGCACCATGAGGGTAGCTCCCTGGCAGGCTGGGGGGAAAATGTCTTGCTGCAGAGGCTGCTGATACCTTCATAGTGCTGTGCTTAACCCCTTGAGCCACAAGGGAGGCCCCTACTTTAAATTTGAAATTGTCTTATGTCCCCATAAAAAGAAAACGAACCAATAATATTAATGTAATCATATATTTCTTCTACATGATACATCAAATATTATGTTAATACCCCACATATGTTAATAGCCCCAATTCAAGTACTTAATAGTCACACTGGCTACCCAATTGTGATTCCTAATTCACACAACACATCAGATACAAACACCAACACTAATACTGAATCCTACACAAACCAGCGATTCTATTTTTAGCAACCTCAGCCTGAACTGTAACCTTCCCACAAGAGATGAACTTCCCTGTGTCTTCATCCTGTGAGGCATTGAGCTATGTAAGGGAGAAACGCTGTCTAGTAACCAGAGCTCGCTACCCTCGGTGAAAGGGACACTTTTATTTCAGAGACTCTTAACATGCTCTGAAGTACTTGTCCCAAATTGCTGAACAAACAGCCGTATTTTCAACCCATGTTTAAAATTTGAGGAAATAATTTCTCCCTCTTGGAAAAGTTTGCTTGTGATGCATCCTGACCTAATCACTAGATAAATGTACGAGTATCCGGCAGGGGCTGTCCTCATCTGACTGAGGTTGTGCAAGAGAGGGGGAAAGCCCAGAGCCCTCCCTTGGAGGAGGAGAATGAAGTCACAAGTAGAAATTGAAAAATGATTGTACCAAGAGCGAATGAAACCAAAGTTTTGTTCATGAGAAGAAACCAAAATGTGCAGTTACAATATCATCCTATATAAAAGTTTGTTTCTATAGTTCATAGTTTTCTACTTATTTATTCCCATGTGTTTTTAAATAATGCTTTTTTTAATAAGTGACTTTCTAAAAAGTGATGCTAAGAGCATGAAACCTAAAAGCTGTACAGATGCAGGAAATTTTGAAGCTTTAAGATACCACCATTTCTGAATATTTCTTTTTATTGATTATATTGTGACCATGATTTCCCTTCTCATTCCAGAAGATACTGCCAGCATGAAGCAATACAGGGTCCTGGAATACTCCTGGCCAGAGTAATGTGTTCTAACTGAAAGTCTCTCCTTTCCTTGCGGATTTGCTATTGGTGAACTCTAAAATTTAACAAATATTTTCTCCTAGTACATTATAAATATAGTGTTTGCAGATAAAATTGGAAATACAATAGGATTCTTCTCTTATATATGAAAGTAAAATTAGCAGGAACATGAATCCTTAAATTTTAAAACAATTAATATAGTACAGCTTGCTGTCCTACAGGGACTCCTATTAGCCTGGTAGCACATCAGAAAGAAGAAAATCAAGAATGTACATAAAATTTTTGGTACCTGAGTCTTAACTGTTAGGTAATGAAATGATCAGGAAAACCCTTAAATGGATACAAAAGCTAATGATTGACCTGGGAGAAGGCAGAGTCCTCTCACCTGAATTCAAGTGGTTAGCTCTCTCACTAAGGAGCATCAGCCAGCACAGAGTATACATAGAGATGCAAGTTTGTTAAGATAAGCAAATACCTTTGATGACTGCCCACCCCATTCAGTGCATTTAATGTTCTAAACTCTCAGAACTATATTCACATCAAAGGCCTGGCCAGGTGTTTTCATATTCTACTGACCAGCACACCTCACTTTCTGGCCTCCTGGCCCACAATCATGTTGGTGTCCTTGGGTCACTCTGGAGGGTACATGTGCAAGCAGAGCTGAGGGAGCCACTGGACACATTCCAGAATGTCACCTCTCCCCCTGTCTGCATGATTCTGTAGCCGGCTAGGATATTTCAGTTTAGTTCAATGTTTGTGCTGATTAGTGGGGTTATTAAAGCTTTGAAGTTCCCACTACTTCAGTTCTGATTACCATATGCTGAATTATTTCTGACTTAAAAATGATCCAATTTTCCCCACCCCCCATTCAAAGTGTAAGAGAAAGCATTAAGGGGCCTCCCTGGTGGTGCAAGGAGGTGAGCTTCTGCACTAGGTAGCCATCCACAACTACCACAGCAAGAGTTCAATCCCCAGCAAGGGAGGTGACCCACATGGCGCAGCAGACCTCTCCGTTCTCACCAGCTGCTCCCCTCAGCACTGTATTTCAGTCAATCTGCCTGATCTGCTCCCCGCTCTGTCTCTGGTGAATCTTCTCACCCCCTTACCTATGGCCTGTATCCCAGTTCTTGTGTGCATAAATAAATAAACCTTTGAAAAAAAGAGATAGATGGAGAGAAAGCAATAAACCTGAAAAAGGACCAATGTAAATGTTCATGAGAAACAGCCTAGGCCACAATTTTGAAAATGTATTAAATTAGCATGAGTATCTTCTGGTGGGTATATTCCTTTCCATAGGGAAGGGGCTTTTTGGAAAGCTTATTTGGCATGCTGAGGTTACCATTTACTCATTATTGTTTATTTGTCTGTTACCTTTTGTTCATTATTGCTTATTATTATGATAAACTAATTGTATGGACCCGAGAATATTTAAGTCTAGTCTTTTTAAGTCTAATTCAATCTGAGTCAGAAGTTTTGGAAGATTTTAATTTATTGGTCACTTTCTAGGTGTCCTCCAATCATATTTCATAAGCCACAGAAATGACTAAGTTTTGGAAAGATCTAAATACGGGAAGCTGAAAGCTAATTATGATTACTGATATTTATTGCATACAGTTTTTAATTTTTTTTTAATTTATACAATAGCTCGGGTACAGGCCAGAGGCACAGGAGGGTGAGAGGATTCACCAGAGACAGAGTGTGGAGCAGAACAGGCAGACGGACTGAAAATTGTGCTGAGGGGAGCAGCGGGCAAGACAGGAGGGGCCTCCCATGCCATATGGGAATCTCCCTGGCTGGCCAGGAATCGAACCAGCGCTGCAGAGGCTGCAACAGCTTCACAGCTCTGCTCTCAAAGAACGCACTGGCCACCGGTGAGGCCCTGCGTCTATGTTTTTCATTTATCCATTCTGTGTTATTTGCCTGCAATTGCCTTGGACTTTGCTAAGAGCTATTATGTTCAGATGAAGCATACGGTTATGCTCTGTATTAAGAAATTAAGAAACCTAATAGAGTACATTCCCTCTAGATAGAAAGGGGGTAAAAAAAAAATGGAATAAATGTGCTGTTGGGAATTAGTGATTTTACTGTTGTGATGTCAGGTGTAAATGGAGAATAGGCACTAGAGGTAACTGGAGTCAGAGAATTCTGGCTGAGATCTAAAATCGAGGGAGTTAGCAGAGTGTACCTGCCATTATGCACCTAGCCTTACAAAGTCTGGAAGAAGTTATAGGAATTGCCCCATTTCTCAGATGCTGAGACTGATGCCTGGGAACTTTTTAAAAAAATATATTTTTAATTTATTTATACAAGAGCTGGAGTACAGGCCAGAGGCACGGGAGGGTCAGGGAATTCACTAGAGACAGAGCAGAATGCAGAACAGGCAGACAGACCGAAGACACTGCCGAGAGGAGCAGCTGGTGAGGCAGGAGAGGTCTGCTGCGCCAGGGGGTTTCTCCCTGGCCGGCTGGGAATTGAACCGGTGCTGCAGAGGCTACAGACAGCTTAGCAGGGCGGTGCTCAACCGCTGTGCCACCAGGGAGGCCTGCCTGGGGAACTTAAGAATGAAGTCACATACATCAAAGTGATAGAGGCTGGGTTCAACTTCAGGAATCCCTTACTACCAAGTCTCTACAGTTAGGTCTTCCTGTGTAACCTAAAAGAGAAGGCCTCAGTTTCTTAGCTTCTTGAACATTGGATCTCATCCCATTAAAAGGATAATGAAAGGTTTAGTAAAAATGGTCATTTGTAATCGAAGGAAAGGGGTTTTATAAAGGACACCAGAGGGGCTATGGAGCTAAATGATACCAGGATATTTGAGAACATCATTGTGTTACCTTCTGTCCAGATGGAATTGTTGGCACATCAGATGATTTGTAGGAAGTCATTCTCTCCTCTGGGGTTTGTCTTGTATATTAAGTACAACTTGTCCAAATTTCTGTCTGCAGGATTGGCCTCTACTAATTTCCTCCATGCTTCTTTCTTTTTCTGAACATCTGTATTCTATGAATGATTGAATTTGCCCATATATTCGTAACCCCCCAATAGATCTGTGAATTTTTTGATTCCTGTGAGAAATAAAATTATTACTTCACCTATGGGCACAACTTAGGGAGAATTTTGCTGTCCTAAGAGAACCCCCTGGAATGTGGAAGACCCAATACTTGCTATATACTCAAAGTATACAACAGTGGTTCCTTAGCTGAAGAAATAACTTCATGTAACAAGTCTATTAATATTTGCATTATATAGAAATGGAAATAGAGAGGTGAAGTTAATTGACCCAAATTCTGTGTATAGTATACAGTGGGTGTAGTAAGTAAGTAAGTAGGGGAAGGGATTCAAATTCAGGGCTTCAGAATCCAGACCCTCCAATCCCATCTTAAATCATCTGACATTACAACATGTTACTTGATAAAGAGTCATTAACAGAATAAAAGTGTTTCAGGGACTGAGATAAGACTTGGGCAGATTCATACCCTCCCTTATCTGATTGTAGGGGCAATGCTTAGGGCCCTGATGACGAATTTGGATGCAAGAAGAAGCAGAGAAGATTTCAGAATGCATTTAGAAACTACCAGAGTTGTCTCTGACACAAACAACTTAAACTATTTGTGTTTACCCTCACTTTCATACCAGAAGCTGAAATGAAGGAATTAATGTTTCCTTACTCAGACATACCTGGAGCCCCTGCTCTCCCTCAGCAGCGGTAAAGGCAGGGCCTTCTGCTCACATGCTACTGGTGCAGTAAAAGGGGAGAAAACTTGACAAGGAGGCATCACAAAACCAAACTCTGACTCACACATGAGCTGGGGTTAGAAGGGATTCCCAGAGCCATGGACCCAGCTATTGGCACTGACAATCCTGATGCTCCAATGTTTAGGTCAGGAGACCCAGACCCAAGCACTGCTCAGACTTCTGTAGAGGGTGTCAGGAGCTCAGACAGGAGGTGAGGATATGGAGATTTGAGGGCCATTGTAGAATCTCAAGTCCTTTTCAATTCTGCATAGCTATTCAAATTTAACAAATGCAAACCACCCCACAGAGATGAGCCCCTCCCCACTTAGAGAAGAGGATAAAACCTGAAGCTGTCCCCTCCACAGGGCAGTCTTCCTGCTCACTCCTGTCTACAAGTGTCCTTTTTCCTTCTCTCCTTTTTCATAATAAACCTCCCCTTTCGGATAACTAACATCTATGAAACCTGAAGAAATTCACCTATGACATTCACCAATGCTGCTCAGCGGGGAGCTCTGATGAAATTTTCCCAGAGTTAAGTCAAGGAGTCCACTCTCCAAATCCACAAATGTAAAAACAAACAAACAAACAAACAAAAAAACCCAGCAACCTCCTATCACCTCACCTCCCCTTTCCTTATTTCTGTCTATCCCAGACCTAACACCCAAGTCCTTGAACCCTGAGCAGATAGGAACCCCTACCCACGGGTTACAGATAATATTTTTGGTGCTTCCTGCTGGCAGAAAGGCAGCACTTCAAAATGAAAGTTACTAGAACTTCCCTTACTTCAAGGGGTGGAGCATCTAGCCCAGTGTAGAAAACTGGTTAGAAAACCGCTGGCTCAATTTCAGGTAACCCCCATGTACAGGAAATGGACTGTTCTGTACTGTGTGGTGAAACTTTTCTTCCTTTGTGAAATGCAAGTGGAAATGACAATCCATGCTCCAGTACTTTAGCACCTCGGCCTCCTTTCACTTGGTAGTGCCCTCACACCCCTCTCTCCGTCCTTCACCTGAGTGTTTCTACTTCTGCTTGCCTATAAATGCAAATCAGGAGCAGTGAACACTGACAGGTGTGTTCAGTTCCAGACAAGGAGATGAGAATCACCAACATAGCTTGTTTCTGTATGAACTGAGTTTTGGTGGGATGATGCTTCCCCTCCCTGTCCCCTGACATTCAGTGTCATCTCACCCTGTCATCAGGTAACTTCTGGATACACCTTAAGGCCATTCACCTACTGCTTTTCTTTCACTGCCTCAGCCCCACCTTAATATTTAATTTTCTTTTATTTTTTTAATAGAGGCATGCTTATTTATTTATTTATTTGTTTGTTTGTTTGTTTTTGTTTATACATGCACTGGGTACAGTCAGAAGCATGGAAGGGTGAGAGAATTCACCAGAGCCAGAGCGGGGAGCAGAGCAGGCAGAAGGACCGAAGTACACTGCTGAGGGGAGCAGCGGGTGGCAGGAGAGGTCTGCACGCCATGTGGGACCCTCCTCTGGTGGCCGGGGAGCAGCCGGGGGATTGTACCGGGACGCAGAAGCTGCGGGCAGCTTCGCAACACAGCGCTCAACTGCTGCGCCACCGGGGAGGCCCAATATTTAATTTTCACTGAGGGGGACAGTTCCCTGTATTGATATCCAGTGAGCAGTGACTGATCATAGATGCAGTCTCAGGTGATAGTAGAATGAGTGCACGATTGTGCACAAGAGTTTTGTCCATGTCAGTGGACAAAAAATAAGAGACCTGTAACAGGTTCTTGTCTTTAAGGTTTCACAAAGACAGGGATGCACCTACACGTTTACTGGGTTATGATTAGAAAGGGCTCTTGAGCCTGTTTCTCCCAGTGCTTTCTTTTCTAATGGTGCTGAGTCCTGGGTGTCTGGGTACAACTAGTTAATATTAACAACTAAGCCCCCATTATTTACCCAGCAGGCAGGTTTGGGATACATAAGGGAATGAATAAGGATGCCTTGGCAGAGAAGCACAGGCCAGACAGTCTCCTGTGTCAAGGGCCAGAGCCTAAGACCAGACCTTCCCACAGAAAACTGGTGCAAACTGGAGCCCCAAGTCAGAAAGCCTGTGAAAACAGCTTAAAAGAGAGCCTCAAATCCTCCTTAGTGCGCAGATTTCCCCTTTCTCACCAGCTTCTTTTATCAGTGAGTTTCAATCAATCCACCTGTTCTTTTCCTCACTCTCTCTCTCTTACGAATTCTTTCACCCTGATACCTCTGACCTCACCCTGGTCTTCTCCCCACAACTCTGGGTTTCCCCCAAACTCAGCAGCACTGATGCACACAGAGACCTGATCTTCATGCAACATGCCCTGCAGTTCACAGGCGTCATGTGCTAATCGTTTCATGTTTGCTGACTGTGCTGGCCCGCCAAAAAGGCGGTAACAAATAGTTGCCTGGGATAAATAAAAATTATTTTGTTTCCCTGAAATATTCTAGGCAGGATAGAAACACATCATTTCTGTCATATGGACTCTGGGATTTTAGATAAATCACTAAGCACATTATTGGCATCTTCTCTACTGAATCCAAATCCTTAGAAGTCAGGGGCCTGCTACAATTGGCATCTGTATCCCTGAAGCAGAGAGCCCTGAAAAAAGTTTCTTGAAAGGAAGATGGTGTTGTCAACCAGTTGAGCATTTATAGATAGAGACTAAGGACAACAAATCCATTGCCAATTCAACTTCACTTCTCACTTCCTAGACTAGTAAAGGAAAACCATGACAACCATGCATTTTTATTTCCTATTTATTGAAGCTTTCAAAAAAAGTTTCCTCTGAAGACACATAAACAAAAGCAGGAACAGCACATACATCTCCTGGCCTCCTAGAGGAAAAGGAAATAAAGCAAACAAAAATGAAATTGTGCACTAGAACAGTGAAGGCTGTGAAATCACTGTCCATGGGGAGATGCACACTCACTGAAAGGAAGACGCATCATCCCATGTCTACATGGTGCTCAGGTGAGGGGAAGAGGAGGAACACCTGACACTCACTGTCATCATCTCACAGCCGCCTCTCACTCCACGTCAGCTGACCCGAGTGGGTCCCGGAGCTCTGGAGAACTGCGGGCAGGCACCATGTGCTGGCAGCCTCCTCTAGTGTCCCTGCTCATTACTCAGGGACCTGGACACCTGGCGTAGGTGAGACTCAGCGCTCCCCTCCCAACCTCACCACCCACCACGCACCCCTGTCCATAGACACTGCTATGACTTATTTAGTGTCCTGGAAAGAGGTAGAAACGTCCTGTCAAAGTCACTCTTTCGGCGGTGGGCATCTGTGCCCCACTTGCTGGCTGCTCAAATGAGAATTGAACCTAGATGGGAAAGATAAGCTGTAGATTTTTTTTTTTTTCTTGAGTGGAAGAATCTTCAGCTCAGCTAGAAAGACTATACAGAGTATACAGAAGAGTAAATAATGAAAGCCAAAGGGCCATACGGCTGTTAAAATCATAGTAATGTGCATGTGAAAATATGGACTGAACTCCAGACTTCCAAAATTCTCTGCTGGACAGGACTGCTGTGGACACTGGCAATTAGAGTCTACTTGCTTATTGATTCAGGGCAGGAGGGAAGTTAAAATGTTTTTTTTTTTTTTTTTAAGGGTTGTTTATCAGATCATTATAGGTTGGATGGGTTTCTGGTTTGCCATCTTACCAAAGGGCATTTTTACAACTGCTCCCTAGGTTTGTAGTTGCAATAGCCAAACATCCAGAGAAGTAGAGGAATCCAGATGCCTACCTTTCGAAAAATTTCCTCCAGGTCATGGCACCAGGCATAGTCTTGAAAATGTTCGATGAGTCTCATAATAAAAAGAGAGCCATGGATGGGAGATCTCCAGGATACATTATCTGTGAATGAAGCATTTTGCAAATCTCATGTGAGCCTCTTGCCTGGCCATAGAGCTGGAGGCACTAGGGGCTCCACTCTAGCTGAGCAGACTGCTCATATTATGCTGTTGACTTGCTTTTTCTGTACACTACATGCCTACCATCTTTTAATGAATATATCTAAGTGATTGTATCTGTAATGCTAGGCAACAATTTTATTTTTCTGAAACCTAACATATTTTTTTCCATTTTTTTTTTTTTTAGAGTTAAGATTGGTTTACACTATTTTACTCAAAGTTATAGGATCACACTTCTTCACGTGTATGTCACCACAACACATCCACGCCAAGGTACAAACAGTTTTCCACCACAGACCATCGGGCCCCCTCCACACAATATTAAGTCCATGTAAAGGGTGCTTTATGTAATGCAGATATTAAGATGGATAGTCTCTGAGTTCAAGGAGGTATCCATATAGCAGAGAGGGAGAGGAGGAAGAACGGCGAAAGGAAGAAAGTCCTTGGGGAAGAAATATCAGATTCTGGATCCCTCCAGTGCTACTTCCTGACTCTGATATAAGTTAATTTATACATACAGAATGCAATGTTCTCAAATACAAGAGTAGGTGAATATTTTCTGCAGCAAAGACATAAATGAAGATTAGCTAATACATTCCATGTGTCTAAGAAAATAGAAGATAGGTAATACCCAACTATGCAGGGTAATTGACATGTTTTCAGCTTACATTCTTTATAAGAAATTTAGTTAAAATCAAATACTATTAATCACAGGCATTTAGACACAATGTTAGCTAAATGTGAAAATAGCACTAAGAGTCAAAAAATGTAAACTTAGAATATGTTTAAAAAAGAAAGGTGGGGGCCTCCCTGGTGGCGCAGCGGTAGAGCGCTGGGTTGCGAAGCAGCCCGCAGCCTCTGCAGGGCCGGTTCGATCCCCGGCTGCTCCCCGGCCACCGGAGGAGGGTCCCACATGGCGCGCAGACCTCTCCTGCCGCCCGCTGCTCCCCTCAGCAGTGTACTTCGGTCCTTCTGCCTGCTCTGCTCCCCGCTCTGGCTCTGGTGAATTCTCTCACCCTCCCGCGCTTCTGACTGTACCCAGTGCTTGTATGTATGTATGTATAAATCAATAAATCAATCAATCAATAAATAAATAAATCTTTTAAAAAAAAAAAAGAAAGGTGGCTCCCCCAGTGGCACAGCGGTTGAGTGCTGGGCTGTAAAGCTGCCTGCAGCCTCTGCAGCGCTGGTTCGATCCCCGGCCACTTGTGAGGGTCCCACATGGCGTGCAGATCTCTCCTGCCATGCCCGCTGCTCCCCTCAGCAGTATATTTCATCAGTCTGCCTGTTCTGTTCCCTGCTCTGGCTCTGGTGAATTCTCTCACCTTCCCATGCTTCTGACTGTACCCAGTGCTTATATAAATAAATAAATAAATATTTAAAAAAAAAAAAGAAAAGAAAAGAAAAAAAGAAAGGTGGCATTCTACTGGAAGACAAATCAGTCTTAACGAAGAGTAATATTAAAGAATATAACATTATATGAAATAGTAGAAACATAGAAGTCATGAAATCTTTTAAAATTATGCAAAGAAGTAAGAAAAATGTGACAACAACCATTGTGCCTTTAAGTATGCCTACATGTTTTAAAATAACTTGTCAGCCAGTAATCAGGGTCATTAAATATATAATGTTAATAGATTAAAATTCTCCTTGAAACTGCAGACACAGTAAGACACAGGCAGATATCTCTCAAGTTCTTTTACATTTAAAAGACATAGATGTTTCTTTTTCTTCAGGGAAGCACTAGAGTGTAGCTGAGATTAACTTGGAGAATATGGTTTGCTATCAGAAACTGAAAATAACAAAGATCTTACATTGATGATGCTTACAGAGTTGTCCTGTATAGACAAAGATTACCTGGTGTGGAAGAGCAGAAAGCAATAAAATCTTTCTCTACATGGGCTTTCTTAATAGCACCATCCTCAAAGTCTTCAAGAGACAGTAAAGAGATTTCTTCAGAAGGTCCTGCTGCATCTTTTACCCAGGCCACTCCTTGTCCCTCTGGAAAGAAGATGCATATTCTTGTTACTACCAGCCACCAAGGGAACTACTTTCTCATGACAACTCTATCCAGTCAAATTTATTGATTTATCTGTCACTATTTTTCAACCATATGCTCTTAGGCATATTTCAGAAAATTTCTTGTTAACAACTCTTTTCTTTCTCCATCCTCAAATGAGTCCCAATGATGCCCTAAAATCTGAGTCTTAATAATTAACATGGTCTCTGTTTAGTAGAAAATGTAACAACTATTTAACAACAAGTCATAATTCACAGAAGCTAATTATTTTGGGGCAGTAGGTGTTATTTGTTGTTGAGGAACGACCCAAGGAAACTGAAAAATATTGGATGCATGAAATAAGGTCAAAACATGGCTATCTTGTGTTCTAAGACATATCAGCACTCACCACCACGGCACGCCTGGATGATGATCACCTTGGGCTTATTCATCAAATTTGGACATTGATTAGCGTTTAAGGCTCGAAAGACGGTGTTGAGATCTAATACATCTGGGGATTCTTGAGAGCATTTTGTCCCACAAATGCCTTCCCGAACACCATGAGACATGAACACCACGAAAGTGCTGTCTGAGGTCCGGTGCTCTGGGCGAGCAGCAAAAGTCAACAACTCTGTCTTCATGTTCTGGAAGAGAGCAGAGCACTGGTCTCCCATGTGACCCCTCGTCATGGCACTGTGGGCATCCAGTAGGGAGACACTTCAAGAATTCCTATCTCATTTCAAATCAATGGAATGCAAAATAAATTTAAACTTAAATTTGGATAAGGTGCAGAAAAGGGTTATTGGTTGCTATTCAGGGATTTTGAGTAGAGAGAAATGGAGATTACAGAATGTTTTACCAGACTCTTGCCCAAACCCTGCATGCTTAAAAGAATGATGGTAGCAGAAGCCTCCTCCAAGGGAAAACTTCCATTTGAGACTATCAGAATATATATACTTATGAGGCTACATTGAGGATTTCTCAGATTCTTTAGACATAGGAAGGGTATGGCTCTGTCCCTACATTAGGATAGAACACACCGAAGCAGTGAGATTTTCTCTCACATCCACGCTGTACCCCAGACTTTCCAGCAGTCTCTCCATGCCTTTGATGTCAACGTCAGCCCCATTTCTCTTGGAAAGATAGTCAAATTCTGTGTTGCAGATGATGAGGGCAAGACACGTGCTGACTGACCTTTCCTTTATTGGATATATCTGTAGGAGATGCAGGGGGGATGAATAGTCTTGTTCTCTTTAATTCAGCCTTAATCCTGTGGGTTCAGAGCTCCTAACCCCTTAGTCCTACCCAGACACCACATCCCATGAACCAGAGATGAACACAGGGATGATGAGCGAGTCCTGCCCTAAGGCTGGGGATGGAGAGTATAAGCCCAATGGCAGCTGCGCATATGATGTAATGAGTTTTGACAGGACTGTGAGATGAA